CCGAGGGGGCGTGCGGGGAGGAGGGCGGGCACCGGGGACGCGGTGCCGGTGCGTTGGTGCAGCGGGCCGGGAATTGCTGGGGTGCGGGCCCGGGCACGCAGCGGGCCGGGCCACCGCAAAGCCACGACGGGCCACCCAGAGTGTCGCGGTACGTCCCCCGCGAACGGGCGAGCTGGGGAGAGGGGGGACACGCCTGTACCCCCCCGACGTCCCGGTGTGCCCACCCCGGTCCCCTCCGGCGGCTGCTGTTACCGGTGTCTCCCTTGCGCTTTCCTGCCGCCCTGCCCCGGGATGTGTGTGTGTGCGGGACGGTTCATGGAATCATGGAATGGTTTGGGTTGGAAGGGACCTTGAAGACCATCGAGTTCCAACTCTCTGCCATGGGCAGGGACACCTCCCTCCAGACCAGGTTGCTCAAGGCCCCATCCAGCCTGGCCTTGAACACTTCCAGGGATGGGGCATCCACAGCTTCTCCTGGGAAGCCTCTTCCAGTGCTCACCACCCTCACAGTGAAGAGTTTCTTCCTTATATCTGATCTAAATCGACCCTCTTCCAAGCTGAAGCCACCACCCCTTGTCCTGTCACTGCCTGCCCTTCTAAACAGTCTTTCTCCAGCTTCATGGAGGCCTCCTTCAGGTACCGGTGCCAGCACATGTGTGTGTGTGCGCATGCCTCAGCATGTGTGTCCATGCGTGTGCACACGTGTCCAGGCGTGTGTGTGTGTCCACGCACGAGCCTGCACACACAACCGTTTGCTGCTGGAGTGCCCCCCCTCCCCAGCCCCACACCCCAGGAGCGCCCCCATTCCAGGGGCTCTGCAGAGCCCCCCCACCACCTGTGGGTTTGCAGGTTGCTTTGCCCTTGAACACGTGCATCCAGGAGGAGATTCCCAGTGCCCCCTCCACCCCGCCAGGATTATTCCGGGGACGATGGTGGCACAGAGCCACACACAACCTTCCCCCTTCCCGAGCTGCGCTTCACGTATTCGGCAGCGTTTCCCACGCAGCAGCCGGGCAGGGGGACCGCAGCGTCCCCAGTGGGGCCCCAATCCTAATAAGCAATTAAAAACCTCTCCGCTGACCCTAATAACTCAATTGCACAGCAAAACCCAACGTTCCCCGGCCCCTCAAGCAAGGTCACACCGAAAAGCCGTGCCAGGGTGCAGAGTGCTCGGTACCAGCATTTTGGGTGCTCACGGCCGGGCTATGATGGGTTGATCTGGGCCCTGAGGCTTTGATGCCATCAAGATAAGGGGCGTTCGGGGCTACCTCGGTTAATAAGACGGAGCTGGGCAGCTCTGCTCTATCGCTCCCATCTCCGGCATCAAACCAGTGGCAATTTTTTTTTTTTTGGCCTCCTTCTGCTTCATGTCCCCTCCCCAGGGGCTGGGGCCGTCCGTTCCGCTCGGCCGCAGGACACAAGGTGGCCCCATTGATGGGGTTGCAGGGCATTGCGTGGGTGCAACATCCCCTTTGGGATTTGCTACGTCACCTTTTGGGGTTGCTGTGTGTCCCTTGGAGGTGCAACATCGCCTTTGAGGTTCCTCTGCTCCTTTGGGGTTTCTGTGTCCCCTTTGGGATTGCTACATCCCCTTTGAGATTGCTACATCCCCTTTGAGGGTGCAACATCCCCTCTGGAGTTGCTATATCCCCTTTGGGGTTGCTGTGTCCCCGCTGGGATCCCTGTGTTCCCTTTGAGGGTGCAACATCCCCCTTGGGGGTGCAAGAACCCCTTTGGGATTTGCTGCATTCCCTCTGGTGTGGATGCATCCGTTTTGGGGTTGCTGCCTCCCCTCTCCTTGCTTTTGGGGGTTTGCACCTCTCCTGCTCACCCCAAACAGCTGCTAATGAGACCGAAGCTGCTGAGTGCAGGAATAGCCACGTTCTGCCCTGAAAAGCCTCCGAGCCAGTGCAAAACCTCGGGGAAATGGGGGGAAAAAACCCTCAGCAACCCATATTTTTTTGCCAGTGGGATGCACTTCCCCGGCTGTATTCAAATCTCACATTAAAATATGCTGCAAATAGGGGAAAAAAAATCTACACGGGGAATTTCTTATCGCCCCTGAGATGAACCAAAATCCAATTATCCCTCCAGTCCAGTGCCCAGCCCCGCTCCGCCGGCCGCCTCTTATCCCTCCTCAGCATCTGCTTTTTATTTTGCCTTCTTTTGATTGTTTTTCGCCCCCCTTTTTTTTTTCTTTTTTTTTTTTTTTTTTCTTTCTGATTATCTCTCCTCTCTCTGTATCTCCTCCTCTCTGCCGCTTTCCATCCTTGCCCCCATAATTGGGGTTTTTTTCTGTCTCCCTTCACTTTCCCTGCCCTGCTGTGCTTCCCAGCTCTTATTTATTCATCTCTGATTTTTACCTCCACTTTTGCATTTGAGGCATAAAGAGGTTTTATAATTACGACTGAAATAAATGAATTTTTTTTTTATTCTTCTCTTGAATCACAGGAAAAGCAGGGGTTGCAGCAGTGCAATGGACATTTCACTGCCTTATGGGTACCCTTCGCACCATCCTCCGCAAACCCAAGCTGGGTTAAATTTTACTTTAACTTTTGCTTCATCTTTAATTTTTGCTTCAATTTTAGTTTTTACTTTAACCTTAAATTTGGCTTCAACTTTAATTTTTGCTTAAATTTAATTCTCACTTACCTTTAATTTTCGCTTAATTTTTTCTTCCTCCTCCTCGGTGACAGCTGTGCATTTCCCTCAGCTCACCTCTAAATATCATTGTAATGGCATCCTTGACAAGAGTCTCACCTAACCCATCTGCCTTGCTGTCAAGGAGCTGGAAAACGATGGTGATTACATGATTTTGCTTTTTTTCCCTAGTTTTAGTACAAAATGGGGTGGCCCCAGCAGCGCTTGGTGCTGCTAACCCCTAGGAACTCCCTGGCCTTGAGCTGACCCTTTCCTGGAATCAGAAATTTCTCATCCAGGGTGCTAGGATCATCTTCCCCAGAGCTCGTTTGCTGTTTGCATTCATTTTACGATGGTTGCTGAGACCCAGGGTGGGAGCAACTGCACCACCACCTGCACAGACAGCCCCAGGATTAAAGGGAAGGGATGATGAGCCAGAGTTGGGGATGCATCACCCCAAATCTCCGTGCCAATCATGCACATCGATTCATGCCACCATCAAAACATCACCCAAACATCCCCTAGTTTGGGGGACAGACACATTGACCAGGTCTGACAGCAGCACCCAAACCTCCCTGGCTTCCAATTTCAGAGGGACAACCTGCAAAGTGCTCCCTGAAAATGGGTTGCAAAGGGGCTGGCAGGTCCATGCCAGTGATTTCCCTCTGCAAAATCCCAGCTGGCAGCACAGGGATACCCGGGAAGGAGGGGGTGGGGGGGCTGAAGCCAAGACAAATAAAGAGTTCAAATGGGAAACGATTAAAACTAAACTAAACTAAAATAAATCGAAAGCGGGGGAGATAAGACGCGGGCGCCCTCGCTGCCTATTTAACATTCATTGGATTGAATAATCAGGCCTCATTATCTCAAATTGTCTGCATATTTGCCCTCAAAATGCTAATTTGAAAGTTGGCTGCGAGCACCGTCTGCCTATTTTGACTAAAATATTATTTTGCTTTATTGTGCGTTGTTTGTAGCTCCGGGGGCATTTCCCCTTGCAAACCGAAAGGGAAATAGAAGGAAAAAAAAAAAAAAAGAAAAAAAAAAGAAAAAACCCAACATTTATCAAAGGCTGACTAGGGAGAAGAGCAGCACCCTGTTTTGCGTAGAAATGGCATTTTTAGGCCTTCCAGTAAAATTAGAGGCGTTATCAGTTTCTTTTCGGGGATGGATAGTTTATCGTTCATCTTGGGAAGGAAAATAGGAGAAATAATTTGCTTTTATTCTGATTGTTTGGTGGAGCAGGGAGGGACAGAGGCTGCTGCTCCCCGCAGGTCCCTCCCCCTTCTTCTTTCCCCATCTCCTTGCCCCCCATCACCCCTTTGCCCCCATCTCCGCTTTGGGGGCCAAAACCAAAGCTCTGGGCTTCATCCGCTGGATCCCACATGGAAAATCAACCATCGGCTCCATTTGATCTCTGGGCGGGATTCAGAGCATCAATCTATTTACGTTATTACCCTTTCTAAAAGTCAATCAATAGATAATAAGGTGGGGAATAATGGCCAGGAGTTAAAAACCCCCCATTCACGGCCGAGGATTAGGGTTATTGAAGGGCAATTGCTTCGAAATCATTTCAATCCTCCGTTAGGGATGCCGTGATTCACTCGCTGGCTTACCCACAAGGCTGCCCGCCGCCCCCAAATGACACATTTCTCATGCAAACCCCTCGCTGTCCCCCCCCCCAAGCTGTTTGCACAGCAAACTGCAATTGTATCGGAGATTAGCGGGGCTTTGCAGGGCTGGGGGAGAGGCCAGCGAGGCTTGTTGACAAATAAGGGTGGAAATCCGTCACCATCAATTCTGCAGGTGCCTCTGGATTTGGCAATGACACTGCTTTTGACTTTCCCGGCTGGGCAGATGGACAGGGGGGGTTTGACTTGCACCCAGATTTTGGGGGCAAATGGTACTGCGAAAAGGGGTGACCTGCAGAGATGCTGGTGGCCCTGGGGATCCTGCAAACTCCCTGCATGGGGTTCCAGCCTGGAGGAAATCAGGGGAGAGACACTGTCATGGGGCATATCTGCCCCACTGCCCCAAAACCAGCACATGGAGAAGCACAAACCTCAACCTTCCCAGAGCCTCTGGTTGATGCTCCCCCATGGGATGGTGGGGACGGGCATGGCCTTACAGTTCTGCCCCAGGGATGTGTCCTTTTAGGGCTGATAAGGGGGTTTTGAGGCTGGTTGCAGCCCATGTGTCTTTTCCTAGGCAGTGATGGGCTGAATTTGGCCAGCTTGCTGTGGGATGCTGTGGCTAGAGCCACCCACACAGAGTTCATGCAGCTTGGCTGAAGTCAGATCAAGCTCTTGGATCGAGCTCTAAGGCAGATTTCAGCCCTAGAAACACCCATGGGCTGGAGCACAGCAGGCAGCAATGCTCTCCTTGGCTTGTCCTTGGCGTGCTTGCAGACACGATGGGACTGTGCTGAGCTTTCTCCTGGTGGTGGTTCTTATCATCTCTGTATCACTCTGAAGTTCAGTTAAAGCTTGCATGGCCAATGGTGGCACCCTGGAGAGAAGACAGGTAGTCACCCTCCACTTGGAGCCCCTTTATCCACACAGCATTTTGGAAGAAACCCCCTCACCCTGGAGTGTGCCAGTCCCAATGTGTCCCAGCCTGTTGTGTGCCAGCCTCAGGATGTCCCATCCTGGCATGTCTCAGCCTGGTGTGTCCCATCCCTTCGTGCTCCATCCCAATGTGTCCCATCGCAGTGTGTCTCACCTTGGTCTGTCCTTTCCCAGTGTGTCCCATCCCTGGTGTGTCCCATCCCGGGACGTTCCAGCCCGATGTGTCCCATCCCTGGTGTGTCCCTTCCCGGTGACCCCTCAGCCCGGTATCCCCGCTCCCGCCGTCCCCGCCGCCGCCGGGGCGCAGCGCGGTCAGGCAGCGTCCTCTGGCGGTCACCGGGGGAACGGCCCGGACGGGAGCCGCTCTAGGTGCCACCTCACCGGCACCCCCCTCCGGGGACCCTGCCCCTGGGGTACCCCCCTCCCGGGATCCCCATTAACGAGGAGTGTGTTAACTGGGATGCTTGCTGACTGGGGTGCCAGGTAGCCAGGGTCGCTGATGAGTGGCGATGCAGGATCTCCACGAACTGTCATCCCCACTAATTTGCAGCCGGCCGATTGGGATGTTGGCTAATTGGGATGTTCGCTAACGGGGACCCTCTTTAACTGTCAGCCTGCTGACTGGAATTGTGCTGACTGGGATGCCTGTTAACTGGGATCGCTGCTAAATGGGATGCTCGCTAACTGGGAGCCCCACCAACTAGCACGCTTGCTGACTGGGATCCCTGCTAACTGGGATAGTCACTGCCTATGGTGCTGCTGCTGGGGATACTCCCTGACTGGTTTAGAGTCATGGTTCTAAAAAGCCATGAAACAGAAACTAAGCAAGATTATGGAAAAAAAAAATTACCAGTTTTCCTTCAGGTGCAAAACCTTTAAACAAGACATATCCCTCCTGCTTCAATTTTATATCTCACTCATCTGCTGGAGAGGGAACTCCTCCCAGCCCCCAGCCACCCAGCTCTGCTGCAGGACTCGCCTGGTTTGGGACATGGGGTATTTTAGCCCATATTGTACAGCTACAGATGTTATTATTTGCAGAAACTCCTTTGTTGGAGCTCTCAACCTCCAAGAGTTCCCGGGCAAGGAGTTTCCCAGGTTGACCACTTACAGGGTTTAGAAAAAGATATTTTTTTCTTAATTTTTTTTCTGCCTGTGCACCCAGAAAAAGCCACTGGCGGTGGTGGTGACCTGTGCACGTATGAATCCTGCTTGAGAAAACCTCCCTAGAGCTGGGTCAAGTCTATCGAGAGAAGAAGCGGAGCTGCATATCTTATGATACTTAAGGAAGGGCTTCGCTCTGCATCCCAAATCCTGGTGGTGAGACCTTTAATGACACTAAAGGAAGAGTGGATTTAATTGGGAGGAAGATCTGGGATTCAGATAAAATTATTGGGGTGGGGGAAGCAGGGGGGGACGGTATGGGACATGACACCGAGGGTCAGGCCTGGATTCTCCTCAGCCACTTGATGGCAGCGGGTCTCCAAACACTTAGGGTTGGGTTTTTTTCCAATAATTTCAGCTGAATTAGTAGAAATAATATTTTTCCTTGCAAACTGTACATGTCTGTAGCCCCCAGCCCAGCCCTCTGCCCAGAACTGGCACAGTGTATCAGCACTTGGATGCAGAGGGATTTTGTAGGAAAAGTGCTTGGAGAGCTGGGATGGATGGACAGACAATAGCCGGGCAGTGGGATACTGCAGGATGGGGAATGGACACAAGACCAAGGAGGGGGCACTGTGTCTGGGGTCACCCCTGAAGCTTTCCTGGAAGAAGGGGGTGACCCTGGAAGCCCCATTCCTCTGCAGACAGACAATCCACACCTTGCCCAGACAGCCCAGCCGAGGGCTAATGAGCAGCATTGTTATTAATTAGCTCAGGAGCTGGAGCCTTGGGGCAATTTTGCCTCAAAATCACACAGGAGCCACCCCCGGGGTTTGCATCCTTGTTCTGGATCTGGACCTGGTGAAAGGAGACACTGGCTTGAGGGCAGCAAACCCCCCCAATTCCAGCCCACCCCTGTTCTGTGCCTGCACAGCATCACTCTCCCCCACCCCCCAAATTACTATTACTGCTCCCCCCATCTCTCCAGGACAGGATTTTCCCACCTGGCTGTCCCAAAGAACCACTGGGTACCAGTATCCCCATTTTGGCCCCATATCACCTGAATCCCAACCCCATGGATGCCTTTAGCATCCCATCCAGCACAGGGGTCCTGGGGCCACCCTGTGGCATGGGGGTGTTAGGGGTGGGTGGGTGTTTGCTGAGCTCCATCAAACAGAGAGAGAGGAAAAAAGGAATAAAAAAAGGGAAAGCGCCTCCTAACCAAACATGCCCAATCCCACCAAGCCCTGGCGGGAGCCTCCTGCTTTTTTATCTCAGCCTTTTCAAGATTGTAATTAAGACCTAATAACACCAAATCTGCCGCCCTTTCATCTCTGTCCCCCCCCACGGTCTTTATTTACCCCCACCGCAGTGGCTGCAGAGCAATGCCCCTGTGATGATGCCCCTGTGATAAGTCAGGGAGCGTGGCATTGCCACGAGCATGGTGTCCAATGTGGGCTTTTTATGACTTTTTAATGTAAAGACAGCACTGGAGAGGCTTCATCTGTGGGTATTGAGCTCAGATGTGCCCCAGCACTGTGGAACCAGTAAGGTCCTTGTCCCCATCCCCAAGGTGGCCATGCAGCTGCACAGCAGAGGATGCTCACCGCCGGGGCAGAGCCCCATAATGACTTTCTCAGTGCTGGAGTGTCCTTGGGGTTTTTTCCTAGCTTGGGAGGGGTGGGGGGCGCACACGCGTCTGCTGGGTCCCAGGGACCTCATGAAAGCCAAGCGAGGGGGGCTGCTGCTGCGCAGATGTGGACCCCAGTCTCCTGACTCCCCCGTGCCCCATTTCCTCCCCAATAAACCCCTCAGCCCCGGTGGAGTCCTTTGACCGGGGCTCGGTCCCCTGCCGCGCCGGGCCCGAGGTGTGACTTTTCCCAGCTCATTAGGAAAAGCTGCACGATTTTAAGAATCTCAAACCCTAATGACCATCTGAATCCCATCAGCCGAGAGGGGTGAGCTGGGGGGGGGGGG